CTACAACCCTTTGGGCTCTGATTGACCTCTGACCAAATAAGACCCATAAAGTTAATGGGCTCAAATTTATACATGGCCCATTTGTCACGTAAATGGCTTGGTCCTTTATGTTTATGTTTAGTTGGCTTTCCTTTAAAAAAAAATATTTCTGAAATCGAGATTCACATGAAAGCGAAGGAGAACATGTCTTCCACTTTGATTCTCTCGATCCTCTTCGCCGTCGTGCTCGTCGGACTTCCGATTCCTTCCTCCGCCTCTAATCGCCACGTCATCAACTTCCGATCGCCGGGTCTTTATCCGGAGGGACTAACCTGGGATCCATCGGAGCAGCACTTCATAGTCGGGTCTCTCCACAGCCGTACGATTCATTCAGTCTCCGACGCCGGCGTCGTCCACTCTCTAATTTCCGATCCCGATCTACCGGAAAACTCCACCATCCTTGGTCTCGCTGTTGACTCTACTAATCGCCGTCTCCTCGCCGCAATCCACTCCGCGCCGTCTCTACTTCCTTTCAATGCTCTCGCAGCCTACGATCTCCGCACCGGCGGCCGTCGCATCTTCCTCTCTCCTCTCCCGTCTCTTGCCGGAGACGATCAAGAGATTGCTCGCGATGTAGCCAATGACGTGGCGGTTGATTACAACGGCAACGCTTACGTCACAAACTCTGCCAAAAACTTCATCTGGAAAGTCGATCGCAACGGAGTAGCATCGATCTTCTCGAGATCGCCGTTGTTCAATTCGCAGCCGGTGGCGGCAGACGCAGATGAAACATTCCGCGATTGCGGTCTCAACGGGATCCTGTACAACAGTAAAGGATACCTCCTTGTGGTGCAGAGTAATACAGGAAAGATGTTTAAAGTCGACGAAGACAGCGGAACGGCGAGGCTGGTGCTGCTTAACGGTGATTTGGTTGCGGCGGACGGGATGGCGAGGAGGAGGAGAGACGGTACGGTTATGGTTGTGTCACAGAAGAAGCTTTGGTTACTTAAGAGTCAAGATAGTTGGAGTGAAGGAGTGATTTACGACGAAATTGACCTCGACGTGGAAGGTTTCCCGACCGCGGTGACGGTGGCGGGTCAGGATAGGGTTTATGTGTTGTATGGGAGAGTGATGGAAGGTATAAAAAGGGCTTATAAAGACGGAGAAGTGAGGGAATGGTTTGGGATCGAAGAGATTTCGTCGGAGAAAGAGAGTGGGGAAGATAAGATTTGGGTTTATGTGTTGATTGGACTTGGTTTTGCTTACTTTTGTTTCTGGAGGTTTCAGATGAAGAGACTCATCACAAACATGGACAAAAAGACCATTTAGTTCACTTGTACTCTTTTGTTTACACGTTTTTGTAATCTAGGAAGGAACTTAACACAGAAGTAGTGGTGTATCATTTGGTTTGGATGATGAAATGAAAGATATTGATTTCTCACATTGTGTAGACTGTAGAGTAACTTACCTAGTAGTAGACAAAGAAGCATACAAAATTATTGCAACAAGTTTGCTTCGACTACAGGTCCAATGGCTTGTTGTTGGAGAGGGAGAGGAATAAGAGGAAATACTTGACTCTCTAACTCTTTCTCTTTCGTTTGGTTTCCTGACTTGGGCTCGGACTCTCTCGCTCTCCCTCTCAGCTTCTCCAAAGCTTTTCTCCTGTTCTCCTTTCTCCCTACTCGAGACGAAAGTTGATCCCCCCTAGAACTTCAGCCGTTAGATAAAGCATCGTGTTTCTTCTGGAAACGTCTTTGGAATCAAGTACTTGAAGCTTCTGGTGCTCCTTAATGTTTGCTTCCGAGTAAAGGAGGCTGGCAAAAAGAAAGGCAAAAGAGTCTTTGCTATGCACAAACTAAGAAAATTGATGCTTTGCAATGCAGACTCAATAGTACCAGTCTTCTTCTACTGACCATGAAAACAGCACAAGTAATGTACATATATGTAAAGATTGTCTGCACAAGTTTATGGCCTGACGAAATACATACAAGCAGACCAAAATTCATAACCACAAACTAGATAGTATAGAGAAAATCGAAGAAACTAGAGAAAGAAACTCAAAATCTCAACAAATGTTTGATGAATTTAGAGATTCTGTACACGAATCACTAGTTGGAAGGGCATATAACAGCTGAATTTTCTTAACGTCTTCCCTAATCAAATAATCCCTAATAGGTCAACCTAAAAACTCAACGGCCTCGGATTCATTCAGACAGAAAGCAAAGCATCTTTCTCCAGAAAAAAATAAATTAGTCTGATCACCAACCTGAGCAGAGACTACACTTGTGGCTAAAATCACCCGGCGCCGGGAAAATTTAGCTGATTCTCCGGTTATCGGAGAAAATGATAATACAATAGGCGACCAGATTGAGCTCGATCTCGCATCTGTCTTCTCCGGTAGATCGGTAACCAGTGGTGGAACTAATCGGTAATCGGAGAAAGGTAATCGGAGAAAGTGTTTTCGTTTATTTCAGAAATGTAAAAAGAATGACGAGTGGTGTATGTGGTGGGCTAAACACAACTTGGGCCTCATTTTGCACATAAATGGGCTTCGTTTTATACGTTGACTTGACTTGTCTCGAAAATTTAGAGACTCAAATTACAAGATTTCTAGCAAACAAAAGATCACAAATTCTCTCATCAGCATTGACATTTTCCCGGAAACGTGAAGTAGTAACAAGACTCTTCCTCTCCTTCTTCAACGACTCTGCTTCTTTATGGAAACCACTTGTTTTCTCAAGACCAGACAAAAGAACATTGTATGTTCCAAGCGAAGGCATGATCTTTCGCTCTCTCATCTCTCCCATCAGCGCCGTGTACGCAGCTACGCCCTTTGCATCGTCCGGAAGTAAGTTGAAAACTTCTGCGGCTAAGTGAGGTCTTCTTTCAAAACCGAGTCTGTGGATCAATGTTGCTACTTGGTTACACACCAAGCGAGTGTTGGGCTTTCACCATCTCTTTTAGCACTTCAATCACTCTAGGGAGCTCGTTTGTTCTCAGAAAGATACCAATTAACACAAGATACGCTGCCTTCCCATTTCCGAGCTAACGATGCCCCCTCGGTTCTACAACGGTCACAGTTTGTTTTTACGATTGCTGAAACAACAAAAGAATCCAACTTTACGTTTCTATCTTTCATTTGGTGAAGTAGATGATCAAGTGCGACCAGATTCTGCTTCACCAAGAAAACGGAGCTGATAATTCTACTATCATCTGAACTTTTCGTGTCATCAACTTCGGCTGTATGAGTCTCATCAATGTCAGCAGAAATATGCGAATTCACTTCTCTTAACAAATCATCCCTTTCGCCTGCGGCTTTCAGGGGTCTCTGAAGTCTCAAGAAAGACAGGGTAACGAAGGACAATCCCGCTTTCCTTCATGTACTGCAGAATTCTAACTATGAAAGATGTTTCACTGAATTTACAGGCCTTCCCAATCAGAATATTGCAAGCTGCTTTAGGTGGCTGCATCCCTATCTGTTCTTGCATTTTAAAGAAAATGTCTAAGGCTTCCTCACATTTTCCTGCAAATTAAACGAAGACATTATCACCATGGCTACAGAACATTCAGAAAACAAATGCACATACTAACAACATTAAACTCTCCACGGATTTATTTGGATTATCCACTTAACGGTAACTGTTCCTAGACAGAGTCTCAGAGATGTCACATTTGTTTTAAAATCATCTAACACAGAACAAAAGTTGTCTACTTTCAGCTAGGCATTTTAACAAACACTTGGTGTGCATTAGAGTGAAGCTCACCTGTGCCTACAAGAAACTCCATCAATACCGTATAAGTGTGACAATTCGGAAAAATCCGTGACCGTAACATATCCTTGTACACCTCCATCGCTTCCATTATCTCTCATCTCCTTCCACAAACTAAATCGCAAGCCCACACCTTTAGAGGGCTTTCATTTAGGCACATTAGTTTGGTGTATATAAGAAGCAGACTTAAAATTTAAAAACGGATCGAGGTGAGTTTGTTTAGGGTTTAGAGGATGCGGTGGAACGATAAGCCTGAATACGCGACAGGTAAAATAGCGGTGTGGTGGGACATGAACGACTGTGCGATTCCGGAGGGTTATGATGCTCGTCGGGTCCGTCCGAGTATAGAAGGGGCGTTCAAGAAACTTGGCTACTTTGGTCCCGTCTCTATCACTGCCTAATTACATCCTGCGAAGGCTCTCTTCCACTGGAGTCTCTGTTGCACATGCCATCTACGGTTAGTAAGTAGTCCAATTGATTGATTGTCATCGACCGACTTTGGTTCCGAAATGAAATCTCTGCTTCTTTTATTTGGAATGAAACAGAAAACACATGCTCAGTGATATGCTGAAATGGCGAAGTGAAAATCCTCCTCCGGCTACAATGATGCTCATATCAGATCACGTGGAACCACTCTTGAATTTTCATCTGGACAAAGTGCCGAAATACGACATCTGGCCCGACTACAACAAGAGACGAAATACAACCTCTTTCTGGCTTATTCATTTACTTGTCAATTGTATCCGGTCCTCAACTCTTCTGCTGAGTGGTTCTGGAAAGAATTACTAGGAGGCTCCAACGACAGTGAATTATCTGCCGGAATATGTTTTATTGCAAATCGTGCCCTCTCCATTGCCATAGCCTGGCCAGTTTCAGGAAGCATCTCTCGAGTAGAAAGCAGCAACTGCAGGTAAG